GTAAAATAAAGTAAAATTTTAAAAAATGTGGCATGGTTTTAGATTTGATAAAAACTTTGCTTTTCTATAAAATATAACATTCCAAGACAACAATTTCTTGGTAAGTAAAAATCCCTGTAAAATGACATAGAGAATATAAAATTTGTATACCTTTAGATTCAATTATAATTTCAGCACATAAAGAATAAATAATGTAAGATTTTAAAATGAGGCACATGGCTTCTTGCAAGCAGTGTATTCAGCATTGAATATAATTCATAAACTCCCAATCTGTGAAAAGCAAATATCCAGAGCATCACTGGCAGACGCCCCCACAGGGAATCATGACTCTTGGCTGCCCAGTCCCTGACGGGACACATGCTACCCCCCTGAGAGATTCCTGTTGAACTTGGCTCTGAATCTCTGCAAGTTCCTTTCTGAAGCAGATTCCTTAACAACACACAGGATCGTCCCTTACTCTTGATTGGAGCTCAGGCGCATGGCCTTTCCTGATTGGCTAATTCAAAGGGAGGGGTTGGCCTTTGCTGTTTCAAGATGGCAACCCCCAGGGGAGCGGCAAGCCATGTGGCCAACATGCGGGCTGCCAAGTTAGGCAGCCCCAAATGGCGGCTGTCTACACTGTTCCTAAAAGATAGACAGACAGCCAACATTATACTGCAAACAAACAGAAATCTCACCAGCTGTTTCTGGTGGCTGAACCCTGAAAGGGAGAGCAAGAAGAGACCCCAAGGTTAAGAATTCTTGGCAGCTGCTGGGACGTTCTTGCAATCTCTCTCACGCTTTCTTTCTTTTTTCTTTTTTTGAATTTAAATGCATTTTATTTTTAGACAACCTACATGACATCTTTTTTTCTTAAAAACAATGCCTCCACTCCAAATGAATCAAGGTCAAAATAAATGAAGAGCTCAAGATAACATCAGTCCCATTTGTCCTAGTCTTGGTGTGTGGATGAAAAGCAGCAGTCAGTTATGATGACAGGTGATGGAGCCAAATTGCCCAATTTGTTAA